CATCGGGCTCCCTGCTCAGTGAGGAGCCTGCTTCTCCCTCTGACCCTCCCCCACTCATGTACTCTCTCTCTCTCTCATTCTCGCTCTCTCAAAATAAATAAATAATCTTAAAAAAAAAAAGTATGGGGAGACAGGCACTTTCATATGTGTGTGATAGGAATTAGTAAAATCTTCACAGAGGGCAGTTTAATAATAGGTATCCAAAATCTTCATAACCTTTCACTCATTCTAGAGAATTATCATGAGGACATAAATCTAAAAATTTTGTCTATAGAGGTTTTATTTAAACTAATGAAAAATGTTAAATAATGTAAAAATACATTAACATAGGTAATTCACAATATTTTGTATGAAAAAAAGCAGGCAACAAAATATGATTTCATGTTTATATTAAAATAAACATATGCAGGGCACCTGGGTGGCTCAGTCGTTAGGCGTCTGCCTTCGGCTCAGGTCATGATCCCAGGGTCCTGGGTTCAAGCCCCACATCGGGCTCCCTGCTCAGAGGGAAGCCTGTTTCCCCCTCTCCCACTCCCTCCACTTGTGTTCTCTCTCTCTCGCTGTGTCTCTTTGTCAAATAAATAAATAAATACCTTAAAAAAATAAAATAAAATAAAATAAACATATGTAGGGGCGCCTGGCTGGCTCAGTTGGAAGAGCATGTGACTCGATCGTGGGGTCATGAGTTCGAGCCCCACATTGGGTGTAGAGATTAAATAAATAAAAACCTTTAAAATATAAATAAATAAAATAAACATACACACACAAAAAATTCCTTGGATAGCCATTCAATCTCTGGGATTATAAGTGATGTTTAGCTTCTTTTTGCTCATTTATTGCCTAGGTTTTCTAGAATGAGTATGTATCAATTGCAAATTAAACATCATTGAATTATTATTATTATTATTTACAGTATTGAACTATTTTAAGTACCAGAGTACCTAACTACTTTTTACAAAAATGTTTATAGGGGACAATATTGTCCGGATTCAAAGAGAACTATCAGTAATTTATTCCTCATTCTAATAGGAGTGGCAATGGGAATTCCATCTTTATAACTCATTCTACCCCTCTCAACATGCACCTAAAATCTCACTTCCAAAAAGTAGAAACAGCTATTTCTGAAAGCCTGACAGAATAGGCAGGAGGGTGGGAGGAGAGGAGTTGGGGTATGGAGAAGAAAGGAACCGAATGTTTACGAGGAACAGATTCTTGGTATTTTCGGAGAAGCTTTAGGAACAGGGCTTTGTTGGAGAGAGGACTGGGGTGGGGAGGTTACATGAATAAACTTCAGTAGTTTCTCCTCTCTTACCTGTAATCAGGTGCACATTCACTGCTACAGGTTCCACGAAACTGCTGTAAGTAGAAACCCCAGAGATCCTAGCACCAAGTGTAATTAGGAAGATGCATATGCATCAGTGAAATGGAATATGATGTACCTCCTCATCGTGATTCCAGATTCTGCTACTTTTCTCCTTTCTCAGCATAATTTAGGTTTTTCTTTAGCAAAATATTTTGCTTTGTTAAGCCATCATTTTTCAGCTTCTCTAACATGACACAGTAGCCCTTCAACCATAAGTCCTTAGACATACCATTTCCTCCATCTGAAATACTTCTATCCCCTCCCCCACACTATCTTGGTTAATTCATCTTCTATTCATTTTTTCTGTTCTTGGTTAAATGTCATTTCTTCAGGGAAACCTCAAACACCCTAGTTGTACAACCGGTTCCTTCAAGCCTTTATCTCAATTTATAAATATACATTATGAGAAATACTTAGTATGGTTATTAAAATCTAGTTGAACCATTAAGTCCCAAGCTTAATAACAGTGGTGCCATTTAGCTGGTTTTGCTCACCACTGCAATCTCCGCATCTGTAACATAGCAAGTGCTCAACAAATATTTGCTGAATGAGGGAATGAATAAATGAACTAAGCAAATGACTAGAATCGAAGACCTTGATCAGGTAAGAGTTATATTAACTATGTCTTCTCAGAGTCGAACTGTGTGTAAATTTTTTCCTTTGTTGTTTAACTTGTTCGTGTACTCACCAAAGTTCTAAAAATACATATTATTTTGAAAATTCCCCATAACGCAAAGTAAACCGAGACCAAACATGAAATATTTAATCCGCCAGGAAAAAGGCTGGACACCCGTAACAGAAGCATGTAGTCTAGCCGGGGGAGTTCACAAACGCCCCCATCATAAGACACCTCTCTGCCGCGTCTTAGTATCCTTCAGGAGCCAAGGAAAGCACACTTGTCAACCCTCAAGGGAAGTCAGGCACAGAGTACACGGAACCTGCAGACTCCTACCCTTGCCAGACGCTTCGGTGAGAAAAACACAAGCCTGGGATGACAGGGAAAGAATGAGTATTTACTCAAAATGTATTTGCTGGGCATGTACTGTGTACCAGAGAACCCTAGCTCTGGCCTGGCTCTGGCCGACCGGTCGGGTGAAGGGCCCTAGGCGTTTCTGCTTCACAGAGCTCCGCGTCCCGAGGTGCACGAATGAGTCCCGGGCCTGCCTACCTCCAGGGGCTGGGCCGGGACCTCCAACAGCCACAGAGCGCTTCAGAAAGTGCCGGGGTGCCTGCAGGCCGACGGCCCCCAATCCGGGCCGCCGCCCACGGGCAGCAGAGGCAGGCGGAGGCGGGCACCCGCCCTCCGAGGGGCCGCGCTTACCCGTCGGGCGAGTACTCGAGGTTGAAGACCGCGCCGTGGGTGCGGGTGCTGAGGTACACCGAGTCCGCGGGATGGATGGAACCATAGAGGTTAGTCATGGTGCGGAAATTGTCCCGCGCCGGGTCCACGAACAGCCCGCGGCCCAGGCTGCGCTCTCTCAGCCACCCGA